TTTGAAGGATTTAGGATTTAGGGATTTAGGGTTAGGTTTTAGGTTTACAATTTGGGATTTTGGATTGGGATTCAAAATTGAAGGTTAAGAGGTTAGGGTAATTGATTGATTTGTTATGATTCTATGTCATATCATCATATTAGATTGAGAGTACTAATTAAAGTTCAAAATTTGATGTAATATGGACACTTTTAGAGTGGGTGCACTGAGTGCACCCAAAAAAGTGAGTGCGCCGAAGTAGCCACCTATATATATATATTATCATGTTTTTATAGAAACTTTTTTAATAGATAATGATGTTATATCATTCTATATATAATGATGTTATATCATAATATTAGACTAATACTATCAAGTAAAATACTTAATTCGATGTCTTAAGTCCAATTTCAGAATTAGATGCATAGTATGTACTCATTTTAATTTTAGTTGCCCCGATCTGGTTAATGGGAAAAATTCCCGCAATAATTGGGTATGAGTAAAACCGGGTGTGATATAAATTTACGTACTTGGAAATGATGATAAATATGGTTGAATGAAATCGGTCCCAAATTCCCCTTATCCCTATTTTAGGCTTGCAGAAGGAGAAGGACATCTGTGAAAATTTTTGGCCCCCCCTCCAACTTGAGGTCAGTCTGCCAACGGTAGAATTCAGAATACTAAAAAGAAAAGGGTACACGACTGTCTACACTTATGGCTAGGGTATAATTATAAAAATGGACCCAGTCCAGTCCAGTCCAGCACCAAAAAGGAAAAACGATGGGCCGTTATCCATTTGCCATGTGGATGAATCTACCGGCCCCGGTCCCTTTCCTTTGCTCTTTTTCATTGTTTATGCATTTTAATCATTTGTTTTTTAGATTGGCGTTTTTGTCGTGTTGTGGTTTGTTGAGTCTTGGTTCATTGGACTTTGCTTGTGCTGATGGTTAGTTGGCTGCATTCACTCTCTCCCCAGATTCCCCGCCGGAATCCAGACCCACCCACACTACCACTATCACCATTGCCCATAGGTAAACACTAAACAGCAACTACAAATAAAATTATACATACTGTAACGACCGGCTACTATTGAATAAATTATATCTAAGGGTGTTCAAACAGTGTGGTTGCCATGGTAATCGTTATAATCGATAGTATTTGGCTAATTTGGTTTGGTTAATTTGGATAATTGGTTTGGTTTGGCTAAATTTTTTAGTTCGTTTGGTTTAGATGATTTGGTTTGGTTTCAGACACTCATAATCAATCAAACCAAATTAACTCATTTAGTAATTATTCATATATTTAATATATATTATATACACATGCTTAATACTTGGCATGACCAGTTAAGAGCCACACATCATTTTTTTTAGGCTCATCAACAATAAAGCTCAATATTGTTCATATATTGCATATTTGTATTTATATAGTGTAGACCATGATACATAAATGCCAATTTAGATAAAAACTCATACAATATATTAGAAGAAAACTTGAAAGAAATGTCTTTTTCAACCTATGATAATTGCAGAGAGACTAATTTAATTCACATAATTAAAATAATTAATTAACTCATACTAATGACATATATTTTTGTTAGATGAATACTTCTATTGACGGTATGATAATTGCATTAGTTGCAAGTATTTTTGTAAGGGTTAACTATAACTATGTGTCCATTGAAATGCTTTATTCATCATATAATTGTGAATTGATGCATTAACCCAAAATTGTCTCATTTAATAATAATGTAAAATTTTATTGGTTAATCTGGTTAACCAATTAATCAAACCGATTAAACTTTAGTTTGGTTAATTTGGTTGTTGTATTAGTTTGGACGGTTTGGTTATGATATTGTATTTCATGGTTAATAAAATTTTGCCTTGTTTGGTTTGACAATTACCATAGTAACCATTTGAACACGTCTAATTATATCATCAGGTTTTGTTGTTGAAGAAATGAGAACCATTGATATTTTTTTTATGATCTTCAGGTTTTGGTTTAGAAAATAACGATGTGTTGTTTATTCATTAGTTGCTACGGTATAATATTATATCACAAAATCATTTTAATTTATAGTCTATATAAATATATTTCACTAGGATGACTGGAAGTATTGTGGACTCAAAATGTATAGCACGACATCATATATTTATATGTCATTTTCATGCGTAAGTACATGCCTTACATAAAGGATTGGAATTTTGGGTTGTTTTGTTTGCTTGATGAATTTGGTGAATGATTTGAATTCATGATAGACTTTGTCCAAAATTTATTATTTATTTCAAGTATTTAACAGGTCGTTTGCTTCATGAATTTGAAAAATGAGGGTTTTGGTAGAACTTGGATTTTGGGAAACCATGGATATATAATGAATTTGGTGCATGGATTTGAGCAAGTCTATTGTTTGCTTGTTGGATTTGATTATGGATTTTGTTTGATTAGATTTGTAGATATGAAATACAAATTACCTTGTTACCCTTATCTAATATTATTTCTATATTATAATCCAAAAAAATTATTAGAAATAAATCCAACACGTATAAAGAAATTTTAAAGTCTTACCACTATGTGGACTAATAATTCAACTAAAAATATAAGAATGTATTAAAATTTGCCACTAATTAACAATTCATCCAATAATGTACGCAATATTATGTATCAGTTGCAACAAGTTGCTCGCCTTATTGATATAACTTATCACCTTCTTCCTAACTCCCCGATTTTCGAATCCGAGAGTCAATCAAATAATAATGCACAAGATGAGGATAAGGTGTTTATAGTTGAATCTAACAAATCACATGCACATTCATATTTAAATAAAATATAACAGGGCATTACAAACAAAATGATAAATTCTCATTCTCATATTTATAAAGTTCAACATTATAAAGTTTTATAGTTGCATAACCATTGAAATAAAATCGTACCAATTTGTAATTAAGAAAAAAGTAAGGGTAGAAGAATAAATTACCATCATGGATTTTATTCATCACCCAAATCCTACCTCAAGAGGTGGAACTTTCAAATCCATGGGGTCCACGGATTTGGACCCTCCAAAGTCTATAGGCCCTAAAAATTCCATCCTCCTATTTCCTTAAAGGCAAATGATGGATTTCGGTTCAAATATATGATGAATGGATTTCCATGACCAAATCTATCATCAAAAACCTCAAGCCAACGACCCGAAAGGTAACAAATCTGTGGGACCCCATAGACTTGAAAAATCTCATCCTTTAGGTGGCAATTGATCATGGATTTTGAAGTCCATCATTTTTTTATCAACCTACCCCTTATATTTTTTTTTTCTCTTCTTATATTTTTGAGGACCATAAAAATAAAATTTACTTCATACATACAAATATAATTAACAAAATCCATCATAAAATCCATAAAACAAACAATAATATTTATCAAATTCATAATCCAAACCCATATATATATATATATATATATATATATGGTTTAGGCTAGCGTACGCCCAGGCGTACGTTAGACTACCGTACGCCCGTTTGAGTTTTGCTATTTAGATCATGAATTAACCGGAGTTTTGGGCATGATACTATACCCTAAACACTAATGGATAAACCCCAGTCCCTAGTTTTCTAACCAAAATCATGAGATTCGTTTAATCTTGAAATGAAAATCAACAATAATTTCGACTAATCAAAACCGTTGATTTTTCATTTCAAGATTAAATGAATATTATGCTTTGGGTTAGTGAATTGCGGACTGGGGTTCACCTATTAGGGGTTAGGGTATAATATCATGCCCCAAACTCCGGTTAATTCATTTTGTAAATAGCAAAACTCAACGGGTGTATGGTAAGCTAGGGTACGTCCGGGCGTACGCTAGCCTTTGCCATATATATATACACACGATTTTTCAAAATTCAAGCTATTAGTAGAATGTTCTCGTATTAATTTTTATCAGTTGCCTACAGCTACAATGTAATCATTGTAATATTCTTCCTTGTAAACATTGGGCTGTCCCGGCATAGGGGTTTTTTCCAGTAATTGTCCCGGCATAGGGGTCTTGTAACGAACAAGAAGGAATTTTCCCCTAAAAAATAATAGCTAAAATTATGCCGTAAGAATATCTGGATGAACTTGACCACGATCTAAAATGATGCCTTCTTGGTGAACACGAATGGAATTTTCCTTGACATACACTATTGTCCTTGTATTTTATATAGCAAGATGATGCCATTCAGCATAGAAATGAATAAAAATTAAAAGAAAAATTGAATCTCGATAGAAAAATATTAATTTAATTTTTTTAGGTTCCAAGTTTGGATGAATGGATTTATTTATATGACTATCAAAGGATTTATAAATTTCAAATCGTTTGGTTTTGGTGATAGTTAATTTGGATTGTCATAAATGAATGCATAGTAATATACATGTATATAAGAAAATTGGTATATTATAGTTTACATTGTTTAGTTTCTGTCATAATTATTGTAGTATTTAAATAATTATATTACTTTTTGAATAAAATGTTACTTTTACTCTTTACTTTTTTAATATAAAAAAGCAACGCACATAAAAGTGTAGAAACATAGTTGGAAAAAGGAAAAAAAATTCAAAAATATCAATGCAACAATCTCAACAATCTCACAAAATTATGTCACATCAAGCAAACAATGCATGTATTATTTATGCAGAAAATTCAGAAAACAATGCATTGTGGACAAGACATGCATTGTAATTATTTCAACCAAACTATCACCAAAACCAAATAACCATGAATTATAAATTTTCAATCAACTCAGGAAAAAATAATTATTCCAATGAAATTCGTGACAAAATATTATATGAATTGATAGAAATATCGACGTAGAAAGATAAAGTCGACAGATCAGCTAGAAGTCATAACTCAACTTCACGTGTATTGGTCATAAGATTTGAATTTGACCACAATCAAATCACTTTTTGGTTGTTAGTTTTTCATTTTCTTCTTTTGATCTACTCAATATTTTGTTAAGCAATTCATAGAATATATTTTACATGCAGAGAAAAATGTGGGAGGCACGACGGCCGGCCAGGGCCTGCAGCACAGCACGTCCGAATCCACCGCCAGGGTCTGGCAGGTGGCTCTTTACTTTTCGTTGATATATTCTTTCACTATTAATTTGACGAATTAATATATCATTTAATTATACATATATCATTCTTTCACTATTAATAGTCGTCTCTCAACCTCCAATTCGTCTAATTAACGATTACCAATGACAAGAACTTGAGATGTCTCCTCTCCTCCTTTCTCCTTAATAATATCCTAATTCACGACACTTTGCTTAGTCTTTTCCCCCTAAATTAAACAATACAATCTAATTTATATATTTTATTATTAATTGCAAAGGTAATTAATTTTGTATTTGATAATACCGATAGGGATACCGAAGTACCTATTGGGATACCAAAATATTTAGGGATTGGGATTGGGATACCGAAATTATTTAGGTATTGGGATTGAGATTGACTTTAGGGTGTAATTCGGTATTCGGGATTTCGGTATTTGGTATTGGGATACCGATACCGTACCGATTTCCACCCCTAGTTCTATATCATGATTTGTCATATTATTTTCCTCATACCTTATGTACTTTTATTTTCTTATCCTACCAAATATAATTATTAATAAATTCTCAATTTTTTTTCAACCACTCTAATATTGATCTGGTTAAGGATAAACATTTCATTTGAACAAAAACTTATTTTTCATTGAATTTTAATCATCACAGTAATTAAAAAATGAACATTTTAAAATATGTTTTCAATAATACACATAGTTAGAATCTTTAGTTTGCTAGAATCTAAACAATTAGACTCCAATTCTCCAAACAATACCTTAACTAATAAAATTTACCTTATACCTAGCAATACTGATATCTCCTATCTCAATCTCAATGAACTCGGTTTTTTTTTTTTCATTTGTGTATACTTACTTCTAAGTACATGCATCTCCCATAATATTTTCATATTCCAAGTAAGCATAGGAGAAAATATTGTACCATTCGACACACTTACCACTACTCCAAAGCAATGCTCTTCATGTGTAATATGCCATAATCAAACATTCCATCATGCATCACTGCATCAGGCATGAACCAGTAAACAATTATGTTTGTATCCTTTAACCACATGTTTACTTACCTTGAATTGGCAGCAGCATGGAAATTACCCTCTTCAACTTATCAGAGTTCCTCTTTGATGAATCCATTCCTCAAAGTTTTGGCTGGCTGAGCTCTCTCACTGACTGATTTCAGTCAATCGCTTCACCAATATACTTATTGTTAATTAATTATTCATGTCAAGTAAATGTAATGTAATTTCTAGTTATGGAGGACTATCTGAATGACATACCTGTTTGGGCCAATACTACGGTGCCGTTGAAAAAATTGTGGCACCAGTGACGCAAATTCTGATTGGTCCACGTAAATAATGATGTGACATGGGCTGATTTGAATAAATGGAAGCCTAAACCCGTTGGCCCATCAGAAGTGGCAAGAAATCTAGTTGATCAAACAGATTCATTCTTTCCGTCTGCCCCGTTTGTGGCAGTTTTTTACATTTTTTAAAATTTTTTCACTTAAATTTAACGCTAAATTAATTTTTTCGCCGAAAACAAAAATGCGAAGCAAAAGAAAGCTGTTTGTCATCGTTCACCTCCCTCTCCGGCGGACTCTCTTCGGGCGACTCCGTCATCGTTTCAATCTCAGGGTATATTAAACGGCTCCACTAAAGTCGTTCTCTGTTTCCTCGTATTTCTTTTTTTTTTTTTTTTGTAAAACGACGACAACGAATCTCGCATCATCACCGCCCCTCTGTCTTTGTGGATAAGCACCACCGCCATAGTACCAGACGACCCCAAGTCCACGAAGAAGATGCCACACTCCCTCCGCGTAGTCTCCCTCGCTCTGCGTGTCCCTTTCTAATTGTCGAAACCAAGTTTCTAGACCTGCGGAGCTAATTCACCCACCTAATCAAAAGGATTACAGATAATTGGAGAACTTTCTGAAGGGCATTTATTCGGTGCATTTAAATTCCCTATGGCATCTGAGTTGTACGTCATTGATTCTCCCATTGGACGTTCGGTTTATGTTCTCCCTTATTTTGGTTTTATCGAGCAGCAGGGTCGTGGATGTTATGTTCCTGTTATTGTTTCCCTATCCTTTTGTTTTTGCTAGAGCTGCATTGAAAATGGTTTAGTTGCTATTTGAGAATGTAAGATAATGAGTCGGACCGTTCTAATTACGTAGTGTGTCTGTTCTTGTAAGTCTTGGATGCTGCCATAATATGGTCGGTTTCTGTTTTCCTTTGTATTTTTGAATTTGAAGCGCAACAGGGGATTCTATGCTTAGTCACTGTATTGTTGTTGATCTCTTTTAGCTCTTTCATTTGATCTTTTTCTTTGTCCTGTTTACCAGGGAAGGCTGTAATTTGGAGTAGGAGGCTTCTATTTGGATTGTTTTTTAATCTTATATTAATCTTCTCTAGTAGTGAAGAGGTGACTGTTGGTGAATGGTGAGTGTTCTTCGTTAGATAAGTGAAATGTGAAGAGACATTTGCGGAAACATGGCCACTGATGAAAGAGAGCGAAAAAGAGACACCAAATTTTGTTGAGGGAAGCCTACTTAGAAAAAGGTGAATTGGATTGATGGGAATGACATGAACTTACTGCAAAGTCACTCTCCATGTAATATTGACTTAGGGACAAAGTATAGCTACCCAAAAAATCCAAAATTTTGGAGTTCTATTAGTACAAAGTATTTGAATTTGTACAGTACATCTCAACTTAACAATATCAAGAGACAATTTACCATTTACTCTATGTAGAAGAAAATGCATTGGAACTCACCAAAAAGACTTTGCTTGATAATGGCTGTCAGTTTACGAAGTGTTCCCTCAAGTTCATTGATAGATTGATCCAGTTCTGCCAAAGCTTTATCAAGCCTCTCATTGGAAGCTATTATTTTACAATCAACACTGGAAGTATTGGCTTTAGAAGCTTTACTAAGAGGTACCTGTTTCACAGAAAGCGAGAGAATCAGCGGGAGGTGATCGACGTCAAGAGCTCAGCGAAGAATTGAGTATTCTTCATAATGGGTGTACCGAGGTAGCGATATACGTAGAATCAAATGGCGGGAAGTTCGAGATTGAATCGGCAACAGTGAAGTTCTCCAAACAATTGGTTCTTTCACAGTCAGACGGAGCGCCCGATTGAGGAACACATTCTCTGCTTTGCTTTTTCGTTGAATGATTTTGTTAAATTCCAAGAGAAAATTGAATGATTTAAAACTTAAAATGATTTTAACTTAATTATAGGGAGAAAGCTAAACACCAAACAGATAGGACGTGGAGACGGAATCAGAGCTTCTCCGTCACTTAGGGTCGTTATCGGGTTTGGTTATATTCTAGTTCTATATCATTGGGTTTGGGCTTAGTGGTAAAACTAAAACAAATAAGCGCCACTTCACGCTTACGTGGACCAATCACAATCAGCGTTACCAATGTTGTAATTTTTACAGTGGCACCATAGTATTGGACCCTATTATAAGCCTTATGGATCATATCCTAGTTTCGATACCAAAGTCAATGTAACACTCTAACAATAATGACAATCAATCATTGTAGACTAACACAAGAAAATAGGCAAGTATACCTTTCATTTCTAATGTAGTATAACGTGTATCAAGGTCGTAACCACAAGAACTATATGTACTTATAAATGTTGATCTATTATCTAATCAATCATTTTTAGTAGATTTTTCAAGTTGTACCCTATAAAATATACAAATACAATGGTAAAATAGGGACAAAGTAAAATAAGTAGGATAAATATGTTGCAGAGAAGTGAATCCCCTAAAATGTTGTTACTGCATCTTATCCAAACAAAAATAATTGAATTGTCGATCTCGAAATAACGGATCCCAACTTATTGTCCACGAACGCATTATAACAAGTTTTCTCAAAAGTGCCAAGGACCCCCTCAAAGACACACTAACAAGTTGCGGTTGATGAAATATGAAGCGGAGGAGGCGATCGCACTACCAAAACATTCTGACTCTGTCTTCGCGATCCAAACCCATGAAAGGAGAACGATGAGAGGTTGTGTCACTTCCAGGAACTGACCAACCAAACTATATTGCCATCACATCTCTTCCACGTTTATCCACCACTAATTTTGGAATTCAAAGAGATCCATTCACAATTCCACTCATAGTGCATAGGATCATTGTCTTTAGAAATACCAAAGAACAATGTGTGGTTTGAGTCCAACACGAGACTTGAAGCCTTATTTTTCAGATAACGCGAAGAACCCCAATCGAAATACAAAATGTAAGCAACAAAGATGTAAATTAGATCGGCCAAAGGATTGATTATATTGTAGCCTTTTGTTTCCAAAATGATAAATAAACTGAATCAAAACAAAATGTTAGTTGGGTTTTAAGCCCAAGGTTGTTTCGTTGAACTTATTGGACTCAAATAGAGCCTTTCTTTTCAGTTGCCTGTGAAGACTTATATGCGCAAGCCCTTCTTCCTCCTCTACTTCAATCCCTAGTTCCAGACACCTTGCAAAAGAGAGACCTCAACAAGAAACAGAGACTTAATAAAGTCTTGATTAGCAAAACTAAAACATAAATTGACACAGAGGATTTTTACGTGGTTTCCGATACTAATTCATCAGTATCGACTAGTCCACGGTCAAAGGATCTCTTGATTCCTTTGACATTTCATTATGATGATCGGAATTCGATTTACACAGTACACAAGTTAATCTCTATGTGACTCCCCATCACTTGATCAGAATCACCCTTTAGAGTCTTGCTCCCTACAACCACTCTAACTTGACAATCACACTTCTTTAGCCTGAGTTCTCTCTCTGACAAATCTGTTCTTTTTCCTTTCAAAACCCCTACTATGAAACACTCTGCTTCTGATTTTGAAAGTTTTCTCGAAAAAGATTATTCTATTCTACCCACAACCCCAACTTATATGCTATGCTACTGGCAACCGTTGCTTCACTGATTTGAGAATCAATTTGATTTCTTGATTACCATGATTGATCACAATATCATAACTTTCCCTCTTATGTGCTTCATGAAGTCTCTGATTTTCTTCTTTTCATAATTTCTCGATGCCTTTGATTAAGCTTCCTCCAACAAACTCCCCCTAAGCTTGTCATTGGCTCCTTCCGTAACCTACACACATTTAACACGAGATTGTTTTACTTGAGAGCATAAGTGAAGCATCAGGGAGAATCATCTTCTTCATTAATCAAATACTAAAGGAACTAGGAACATCAAGGACTTAACACAATTTACCAAAGGCTCGACACAAATCAGCAAAGACTCCACACAACTCCTTCAGAATCAACTGTTACTGAGACTCAAGAATCTCCCCCTGCGCCTACTATCTATGACTTCTAGAAAGGGTATTCTGGTGGAGACTCGTACTCCAAAATCCTATCTTCTTCATCTAATTCGGAGTCAGAACTCATTGAGTCATTGATTGCGCCTGACTCATACACAAACTTAGGCCACATCAGGTCTTGTTGCCTAAGTAGCTTCGGATTGGTAATTTGTTTCCCTGTAGCTGAAGATTTTCGCTTGATTACTGATACAGCTGCATCAACAATAGCATCAACAGTTTTTCCAGACACATACGACTCAGGGCTTATCATGACTCCCCTGAGCCATCACAGGCTTACGGGGGCCAACTTTAGCATTCAACTTGGCCAAAACATGTTGCCGACGCAGATCATCCAAGACATTGCAGATTGTGACCTTATCTCGCAAATCAATGCACAACCGATTGAGAAGTTTGGTGATCTGGGGTCCAAAAGGCAAAGGACCACTGAAGTATGCAAGTCCAAACTCAACCATGTGATGAAATATCAGTGAGGCATAGCTAATGGATCGACCTTCTTTGGCATTAGATAAGATCCAGAGATAAGAAGAAATGGAGGAGGTCAGTGTTAGATAGATCACGAGGCAAGAAGCACCAAGTGATGAAGAATTGTAGAACCTTCAAATCATTAGGGAGAGGACCAGACGCGAGAGGAGTAGGATAGTACTACCCAATGTCACGAGTGTGACGTGCTAGAGCAGCATCAAAGCGGAAGCCTCGAGCAGTAAATTCACCATCCGTACCTGCCCGAAGTCCTGAGTGAGGAAGAGCGAGAATGTCGGCCAGGAGGGCAGGGGTAACTGTGATCTCATAATTTAACATGATGGTTGTGACGAAAGATGGATCACAACCAGGACCTCGAGTGAGATTGACATAAAACATGCGTACTGCCTCGGGACAGTAGCTAAACACCATGTTTTCAACCAATGAACCCCAGCCAAGACCATCAAGAAGAGAGGGAATGTTCATGTCATATTTG